TTTTCCTTGAAACATTTTATTTATGTATTACTCATATAAATATTTCTAAACTCAATTTTTTACCTTAGGTAAAATTCAGCTCTTTTTTTTTCTAATAAGCTTGGGTTACATCTGTGTGCAATTTCTATTTTGGTAGTTTTACTGGTATTTTCTCATCTAATTACTTTTAAAAACTTCATAATGAGATATTAAGATACTATTATAAAAATACAAGTGAACTCTATATTAGGCAGAATGCACACACCTGGCAGATGCTACAGTAACAAATAAAAAGATTTAAATGTCTGTTAATTAATGTTCTTTGATCAAGTATCATCTCTTAATACTGTCTTTGATGTTTGCACATGTACGAAAAGTAGGAGTCAAGACAGAAATGACTGCTTCGGTTCAGTAAACATATTTAAATATTTACTATTCACATGGGTAATAGTTATGGTATAATAACCGCAGGACTAAATGTATGGTATACATCTCAGAGCTAAAAATGAACACCAATAATGAAACAGAACCAAAACAACAATTACATGAGATGAAAGTAATCAAACTCCAAAAGCTTATGTTTTGAAAACTATTTAAAATGGTTTTGTTCTGTTCTTTTTTACTGTGTAGCAAAAGCATAGATCTTACTAAAAAGACTTCCAAGTTCTAAGATGCCTAATCTTTCTGATCAGAGAAAAAGCATGTGAGAGCTGCTGAATGCACACATACTAAGCTGTAAATAGAAATTTACTGTAAAGCAGATTCAAATTCTTCATCACATACATTACCAGAATACTCAAAATAAAATTAACCAGAAGTTTGCCCTCACCAACACAACTGCCATGCTGACTAAAATAATATTAGAGAGGCATATTTTACCCTTAATGTCAGAAAACTGAAATATATTGCTAATAAGGCAAATAATATAAAACTCGTTCTTTGCCTGACTACAATGTAATTTCAACATCAAGAAAAGTATAAATCCAGGAAGAAGCATGCGCTAACGTATGCAACACTGATGTATAATCTTCCAGGCTAGTTGAAACTCTAAGAAGATATATCAGTGCTGTCAACAGACTGCTAGTATGTCCCACAGGATGAACTTTCAGCAAGGCACAAATCTGAACATGCTCAAGAAATCAGTACTTCACAGCAGAAATACAACTGCATTTAAACTAATTTTTTTTTTTTTAAGGAAGGATTGTTTTAACAAATGGAAAACTAGTAGATGCCTACATTGCTTTGTTGCCCTGTTACTTAAGCCTCTATTCCAAATCCATTCTGTCCTTTTGATGCTGCAATCAAAAGGCAGCAGAGTGAATTAGGAAGTTAGGAGGTTCTCTTGATCAAATTTAACTTCATAACTTCACAAGTGACCAGGATTCTTGTTATCTAATAGGTCACAGAAGTAATAATAGGTAATTCCCCTATACACAGCAGAAACCCAAGCTGTGTAACCACACAATAATCATTACCTTTTTAACATGTATGTAAGATGGTAAAGCTGGCAATGGGAAATTTGGCTGTCATCAATATGCAGCCAACAATGAGCAAACTTATGATACATTCCCAAAAGGTATACCCTGGCCTTTCAACCAAAGCAAGACTGCATGTTAACAGACTTTGGGATATTTGCTATCACAGAATAGAGGGTTAGGCAAAAGAAAATATTAAGCATGTTAAGCACAAAGTACATACTGCTTAACATCTTGGTTCTCCTACGAACCTAGTAACTATGGATGCTACCTATACACATTTCCTTCTCTGTGAGGTTGCTTCAGCAACACTAATCACTTGTCCCATCACAGCCTGATTTAAGATTAATTTACTGAAAAATGAAGGTTCATACACTGCATTTAGTTTGCTAAATTACATTCATTATGGTAAGTTGTCTGCTTTTGCTTCCTACCATATTTTCTCCACTAGCATTGGTAAATATCTGACTGAGCTCATGACAGATCACATAAATGTTCAACTAATAAATTTCTGCAGAAGGTCAGACTGAACCCACAGTCACTAACAAAACAGAAAAATCTCTCTGAGTAGCCATGACAAGTGCACACCTTCAAACATACTGGGAACAGGAAGAGTATCAGAGTCTAAAATGCTGAGATCAGACAAAAAATGGAAAAAAAGCAGAAAGCCAACAGAAGGCCATAGGAAGATAATTATTTGTACCCACGTTCACCATTAAGTAATTTTGGACTGCCTCACATTTGGATCCTAATTTGCATTGAGTATACTGTTTAATGTACTTCAAGTTCAGACACCACAAGAAGGAGACACAGACTAAATCAACAAAAGAAATCACAGAATAATAGAATGGTTTGGGTTGTAAAGGCCTTAAGATCATCTAGTTCCAACCCCCCGTGCCCCAAGCAGGGACACCTTGCACTAGACCATGTCATCAAAGGCTCTGTCTGACCTGGCCTTGAACACTGCCAGGACTGGAGCAGTTGCCACTTCTTTGGCCAACCCACTCCAGTGCCTCACCACCCTCACAGTAAAGAACTTCTTCCTTATATCTAGCCTGAACTTCCCCTGTTTCAGTTTCAACCCATTTTCCCTTGTCCTATCGCTACAGTCCCTGATGAAGAGTCCCTCCCCAGCATCCTGGTAGGTCACCTTCAGATACTGGAAGGCTGCTCTGAGGTCTCCACGCAGCCTTCTCTTCTCCAGGCTGAACAGCCCAAACTTTCTCAGCCTGTCTTCATATGGGAGGTGCTCCAGCCCTCTTATCATCCTCGTGGCCCTCCTCTGGACTTGCTCCAACAGCTCCATGTCCTTCCTGTGCTGAGAACACCAGAACTGTACACAGTACTCCAAATGTGGTCTCATGAGAGCAGAACAGAAAATAGAGAGAGAATAGAGCATAGACAGAGAATAGTAACAAGATAATAGTAACAATTCATCCACACTGGATACCATTCATTCAAAACATCCAAAGGAAATCAGGTATAAAGCTGAGTCTCCAATTGTCGACTGTCACTAGCTTCTATAATAGTCTTACTTTTAACCTCAGAGATTTCCTAAAGCTTTTTTGTGGATGCCCCATCTCTGGCACTGTTCAAGACCAGGCTGGATGGGGCTTTGTGCAACCTGGTCTTGGAACTAGATGAGCTTTAAGGTCCCTTCCAACCCAAACCATTTGATGATTCTATGAAGTTCTTCTATGTAATAAACAAAACTGATCCAAGTGAAACTTGGGTTTGAAATGGATTTCAGCAAAGCTCCACACTGGGAGCTCTCAAAGAAACCCAACTGCTGTATTTTAAGGGGTGAAAAAAAAAAAAGAAAATTGCTTTCATTATGAGAAATAAGTAACAGCCATAAAAACTTAGTTTTACTTACTTTGAGTAATCCGTGGTACCCCATGTTCAAAAATATGCAAAGGTAGGAGGCTAGTATAGTGACAAAATTTTCCAATACTACTAAGCTATTCAGAATAAAGAAAAAAGCCAGTGCCAAATATTTACACTAGGTCCATATGGCATATGGTGTGGCTGTAAAACTGTCACACAATATCAAAGTTAGACGATATAGGTGTTGTACATGGACAAAAGCATTTTAACATTCACAAAGAAAAGAAAGGCCTTCTTAACCTCAGGAAAGATAATCCAGAGATTTAATAAAAGCTTTCATGATTAAAAAAAAAAAAAAATCTCACAAAATAAACTACAAAAAACTTCAGGACAATACAAGATTATGAAAGCAGAGTAATATATTCAGAAACACAGTCTGAGCGTTCAAAAACCATATTCTAATGCTGTGTTTAGAGCAGAAATCGCTTCAGACTAATTATATATTTACATTGTTTCAAGAAATCTACCAAAATCTTCTACAAGAAAAAACCCAAATTATTTGTAAGATTCAGAAAAAGGTCAAGAATGTATCAAGAGGTAAACACTCCACAAGAAAGACTTAAAGAATGTACTTTATCATTTGTGAAACAAAATTATCAAATCATTATGTAAGAGAAACTATAAATCATACAAATATGGCTTAAAAATCTTAGGATAAACACTTAAGTAATGCTCTGGATAAAGTCAGAACATTAACTTTGAGACAACCATCATGAACATATTCAGCAGATACTGCATTGTGATTTTTCTGTTTTACAGCAGATTACTACTTATACAAACTTTGAGAAATAAAACACTATGGGGGTTTTAATATTCAAGCTCCTTTGGGCTCGTGAATATAATCCTTGATTACAGATCTACCTTACCTACCCACACTAAGTAAACTTTTGCACATAATGAGCAATATCAACTATTTTCCTCTCTCTGCTTAATCCAGGGAAAGGAAAATTGAAATGCAGAAGTATATCTCATTGACAAATCTATGAAAGAAACTAAGCAACAGAGTTTACAATGATCTACCACTGTGGGTAGATCATTTCGAAGCCTTTCAATTTCATAAACCGGCCTTTGAAAAATGTTAAGGGTGTACATATAAGATCTGGCACATATGTAAAGTTGGATGCCTATTAGTGAGAGTGACAGATTTTATTACAACCGTTCCAAATGGTCCATTAAAGCTTAGAAACTTTTAGACAATATTCCTCTCCACTGTAATACTTTCTTCAGACCTATGATCTAAAGTTAGTTGTATGGTCAGTAATGATGAAACAAATCAGGACCAATACATTTCATTTTCACAGAGGAAATGCAGAAATCCACTATTTTTTTAAGAACTTGTTTCCAGGAACAAAATCACTTTGGTTTTATTTTTAGTTTTGGTGTCTTTAGTAGAGAATGTAAAAGCCTTGTTGAATACTGACATGATTAGTCAGTTTTCTTCCCAGGACAGATTTAATAGTGATGTACCTCCTAGTAGCAACAGCAGAACAACAGCAACAGTAGAGTTGCAAAATTTTTCTTAAAAAGAAAAAAAAAAAGAAAAAACCCAACCAAACAAAAGCAAACTAACTGCAATACCCTTTAAAACTGGTAAATTTAAAAAGAAGCTAAATTTAAAACAAGAAAAAACAACTGTTATTATTCTAGAAGTAGACTTACGTGTTCTTCAGATTTTGGAGAATCCTGATGTATTGCATTTAACGCATCATGAGCATGCAGAAGTTGCTCTTGTAACTGACAAATCTTTTGATCTTTTCCAAGCAACTGATCCTGAAGAGAGGCACAGTGCTGCTGCAGTTGAACTTCACTTGCTTTAACAGTTTCAAAACATGAAGTCAATTCATTATAAAGCTATGAGAGGGGAGAAGAGATTAAAAGGATTAAAAATAACTACAATACAAATAGCCATATAAATACAGGAGATGAAGAAGTATTATTTCAGTAACTCAGCCATAAATATCACCCTCTCTTTTCTTCTGACAATTCTTTTACGCTTCTTGTCCTCCTGCCTCCTGCCACTATCCATAGATTTGAAAACACTGAAACTTTAAGTTTAAACGAAGTTTTTCCAGAAAAATAAAACTTACATTAGAATGTTACAGTTTCAGTTGCTTCTTTATGCCATTTTTTAATAGAAACAGTCACCTAGCAATCAGGATTTATTTTACTTCTTCAACGGTTTATAGAAAGTAGAAAAGAAAAAAAAAAAATCCCTTACTGAGAATAGGCAAAAAAATTGAAACAATGAAATTAAAGAAACAAGAATAGGAAATACCCACTTTGTCCTTTATAGAGTAGTTTGACCCTATAAAACTAACCTTTTTAATATAGCTTGGAAAGTAATACAGTGAATCCACTAATGCCTACTACATTTCCTATAGTTGTTTAAATAATTATTCTGTGGGAATTTTTTTCATATTAGCTATAAAACCCAGTGGTTATATTAGAAGTTCTTATCCCTGGCTGTTGCTCAATTGTTCTTGCTGAAACCAGAATATTGCATACATTCTAGAATCACTCTAGGAGAGATTCTGTACACGTGAAGATTTTCTAGAACCATATCTAAGTAACAAGTAGCAGTACAAGCCATCTAACTGACAAACAGAACTTTGCAAGAATAAGACAACTTAACCACCTGTTTCCTCCATTTTTACCCTTTTTTTTCAACATAAACATCTGAAAGCTGTTTAAAACAAAATCAGCTTTTTATTAAAAAAAACAAAAACAAACAAAACCAAAAAACAACTCGGTTTGAAAAATAAACCTGTAGTATAAGAAACAATAGTACAGATTCTGAAGGAAACATATGACTCTACAGCTTTACTACCTAAGCATATTTTCTTCTCTCTCTTCATTTCAGACCTTCATTCCTTTGATGGTCCTTTTTTCTCAAAATAACCAGTGTTCCCTCAGACTATTTATTCTACCATAAAATAATGTGCAGAAGGCATGAATGCACTTCTGCAGCTGAGAGATTTTTTTGGAAAATCCATTTCTGCCATTCAACCCGAAAGAAACCTATTAAATATGAAAATCAGAATTTCCAAATCTATCAATGATGTTTATAAGTACAAGGAACTGAAACAAGTCATTTTACTTTTTCTCTTGTCAGCTTTACTTACATGATACACTTCTTTCTCCTTTTCACTTGCTTACATCACTTAGAAGTTAAACTCTGAAAAACTATCACTACTTTTAAATTTGGAAACTGTTTACCTCACACTTTGTGAGAAATTTACTCCCATAGGTTCCCAAAATCCACTTAGGACAACATAAATTACTTTCTGTCTATTTTCAAAGCAGATCAGAGATCATGTCTTTCAGGCAAAATTAATTCAAAGTCCAGATAGCTTGGTATTTTGAATTACTCTGACTCTTAAAAATTAAACTTTGCATCGAAATTTCTGTGCCTACCGAATCTTTCTTAATTATATTTAAGAAAGCCTACATCATGTCTAGAAATGCAAGTTCCAGATCAGCCAATTTCTTATGGAAATCACTAAGTATCTCACAGGAAAACAAACAGTTCATTTATCAAAACCATGCATTTTTAGATAATGTCCTTCCAAATGAATGGAACATCAAGACACAGTTACTTCCAGCTATAACTATATAAGCTCATTAGCTAGATCATACTGGTATGACAATTTGCTGGTTTTATGACTAGCAGCACTTAAGTGGTTGTAATTATAGTATCTGAAAGGTAACATCCTAGTAAGATGAATGGAGAACATCAAAAATAAGATGCTTTTTTCTAGCTGGCAGCTACATCCCCTACTGTAGCTAATGGGTATTTTTGGTAGTCAGCATTTGTCAGGACAAGACAAATAGCATGTCTTTTTACTTGCATAAACTTTTCCAACCTTTCCTGCTTTGAAAAAAGCAATAACAAAGCACATATATTTCAAATATAAACCAAGCTAAAAGCTATGCGCAAAAAATCCACACTCACACTAGTCATCTTCTTACACTCAAGTTTTGTTTGTTTGTTTTTTAAAAACAACATCAATGTACTAATTTACAGGCCTTATTTTTATATTTTTTTATAGTATGTAATATCAGGAAATTTAAAATGAAAATCACCTGTATGAAAAGAAACAGCTTTATCTATTGTGTACAGATGCACAGAATAGCTTCCAAATTTCATTTTGGCTCCCTATCTTTTCTTTTATGGCCATGCATGTGGGTTAAATTCATGCTTAATGTTAGTATTGGATTATTTTGGGGGTTTCTGCTTATTTCTGACCCTGTTTTAGAAGATGCACCACATTTAATCACACTGCAGTACACATTCCAGAACATACAGAATTACACATGATGAAACAGGTCACCATTAATAAAGACACAGAAAGTCAGATGCAGGGATGCAAGACGTAAAATAGAGATCAGAGGGCTAGAGAGGGAACACTGAGTAGAAAAAAACAAAGACAAAAATATTGTGAATTATTTATCTCAGAACTAGCAAGCTTCACAGAAGAGTGAAATCACAACTGTACATTAGTGAACGGTTACACCTTACGTGAATGTCAGTAAGACATAAGATTTACCCAGGAAATCGTCTAATTCCCAAGAAGAGATATTAAAAAAAAAAAAAAATGTTCACCAGATGGGAAAAAAAATAATAACAAAGATATTTAAAATCATTCTTAATACATTTTACAGAATTTATAGTCAAAAAAAAAAAGGGCAGTGGCTAGAGACACAAGACTGCTTTGCAAAAAGTGGTGCACTGACTATATTTTGAGAATCATTTTCTAATGCCTTAGAGCTGTCCTTTCTCTGACAGGCAACACAGAATGTTATAGGCAAAGGTACTTAAAAACAAATTAAAAAAGATTAAAAGTATCTGAAATCAGTACACTGTAATAAATTCAGTCTATATGACACAAGAGCATTACTTAACAGTCAGGAAGGAAGAGTAACTTAGCTGAACTACAAAATATAAAGTATCCCATATTTTTCTGCTAACCTAATGATTTCCTATATTGATATAACTGATTTTACCAGAAAACTCTTTCTGCTAGATCTTTGAAGAGTTACTTAAAACAAAAGACTTCTTTAGATCAATAGGTGTCCTTAATGTCCCCAAGTAACCTAATTATGACAGACCAAAGCTAGAACTTGAGGAGAACCAAAAGATGTGACTGAAATGCCTGCTCACATATGATAGAAAATATTTAACAGCCTGATTATGGAGGGTCAGGTGAAGTACTGACATACACTAAATATATGTATGGCAAAATTAAGGTAGGCCAGACCAAGGAAAACTGAGGAATTCCAACAAAACCTAGTAAAAATAAATAATTAAACCACGCTATCTAAAGTATTGTACGTTAGCCAGAATACTAGTGCATCTGGAAAAAACCTGCAAAGTGAAACAGTTGACACAAATGACCAGCACTAACTTTATAGAAGCGTGCAGGATTTATTTCAAACTAGGTTTAGACAGCTCCTGTGTACTGAATGCCAGCTAACAGTTGCGACACATTTTCCAGTTCCTAAACCATTTCTAGTTCCATAATCCTAAAGTCATTTAGTTAAAGCTTCCATAGACTTTTCCATGACATTAACTAAAGAACAGAAATTGGGGACATCCAAGACATTTCCTTTAATAGTATGCTCTTGTGAGGAACTAACAGTAAGATGGATCCAGCTATTAAAATGGAACAGTAGCCAGTTACATACATTGGGTGCAAAACAAACATTAAATGTTTTACCTAAATGTTAACACCCTAAAAAAGCATATTACAGAGTTGTGAATAAATGAGCCGACTATATCATAATACTGGACATACATCAATGGCACAAATGTAAAAAAGTTAGTCTAAATTAAGACACAATAAACCTGTAAGGTAATCTATTAGAGCACCATTGCAGAAATCTGTTACAAAATCATGCTGTTTATTAGAAATTGAAAAGCACAAAGGCAGAAATTAGCTAAAGAATCTCTAGGTTGAAACTGAAGAGGCACTCCAGACAGACTGTATATAGCACATTCATGGCATTTAATTTTAAAACAGAAAAGTAGAGGAAAGGTGATTTTTTAAGATGAGATACCACGAGGCTTACCTATGATACAAGAGAAAAATTTTAGACACAAACGAGAGACTGAGAAAAAAAAACAAAACAAAACCATACTAAAAGAAACTACAGATTGAATGTTAAGTAACATGAGGCAACGCACAAGCAAGAGTCACAAGTACAATCTAAAAGAGAAGATGCACTTTCCTCAACTTTATGGTACTATGGAACTGTAAATACCACGGTTGTTTTGGAAACGATGTAAAATGGATGGATAACTGTAGCAACATACCTTCGCAAAAATGACAGAAGGTAATGTAAAAGAAAAGGACATTTCAGTCATTTTGATTAGTGTCTTTCCACAAAAATTCAAACTGATGAGTGTATTCACTTCAATGAACCCCATATTTCCTGTTTCCTAACTGATTCATCTACCCACCCCTAACATAGCCTTCCAATAGTCATCCATCTAACCACTTTTATGCAACTTCCTATGCCGATATGGCTATCTAATAGCGAGGTTTGTGGATTTTTTTGAATATATAAAAATTTTGACACATTTCTCTCAGAAAGAATGTATGTATCAGCAAAAACTCTGTGAAATGCTATCAAACCCTATTTAGATTTCTTCTCTCTCTATATAGAATACTGCCAGAGAACATTCAGAAGGCTTGTAAAGAACACCAGTCCTAGTTAATGCAGGAAAATGTTAATAATTCATACTGCAGTAGGTATCGTAATGCCTTTAAACTAAAACAGAGGAGATTTAAATTAAGTATTAGAAAGATATTCTTACTGTGAGAATGGTAAGACATCAGCATAGGTTGCCCAGAGAAGCTGTGGCTGCCCCATCCCTGGCAGTGTTCAAGGCCAGGTTGGATGTGGCTTTGAGTAACCTGCTCTAGTGGAAGGTGTCCCTGCACGTTGTACTGAGGTTGGAACTAGATGAGCTTCAAGGTCCTTTCCAACCCAAACCATTCAATGATTCTATGATATTGTAAAAAAATACATTACTGTTGCCAGCAACATTAAGGCAATGGTTTTCAAGCATCAGTGACAGATTGAGAATTAAAGATTATTTACTTTATTTTTTCCCCAGGCACTTAAGCATTCTGTAGATATCACCCTACACTACTATACGTAGGAACCACAGCATACTAAGTACAGGGCTTTTCACCCATGAAAATCATCACCTGTGAGTGCAGAGTTTAACATCACCCTGACAATACCAGAGTCTACCCAGGATTTCTTCAACTTTAACCTACAGGCACATCTGATGCTGAAATCTACTTACTAGCATATGACCAACTCTAGTGGTGTTTGGTATACGAGAAATAAATAGACTACTGTAATTAACACACTTGACAAATGGTACTGGAGCTTGAACAAAAGTGTGAGATAATCTTTGTTAAAGATTTGAGTTTCTCACAGCTTTCAGAGACAAAGTGGACTACAAAAATGATGATTTCTTATTACTGATGTGGGCTTCAGGATATCTGACTGGACAGCTAAGTTTCAGCTCCTATCATGTGTGAAAGAACTTATGTTTTTCATTCCAGTTTGATGGAGAACCTGCATTGTTATTAGCATTTACACATCTATATGGTATTGCTTTTATTTTGTGAATTTTAATGCTCCTTACATAAACCCAAACACATTAACGTAATTTTAAACTACGCTTCAGGGTTGTTCAGTTGCAAAAAAGACTGGAGGTGATAAAATTTAACGTTAGAATGGTAAAGCCAGTAACTTGACATTCTCAAGCTTGGAGGAAAGCAACCTATCTCCACACATTGACCACAAGAAGGAATAGCAAAGGCAAATGCAGGCACAAAACCAACCACAATATCTGAAAATGTATCTGACATGATCCTATTTTTATCTACTTTCTCATGTACTTGATGCAGACTTCTGCAATGCCTCATGATTGAGCACTCTTGCTATGTTTTCTAATTATGCCAAAAATCTAATTATTGAGCAGTGCTTTTCTTTATCACAAACATGTATTGTACCACTCACTATCCACAGTATTCTCCATTTGAGAGCTGACTTCTAGAACACAAATTATGATTTCCTACTTAATGACAAATAACAGTATTTTCACTTCGCTAAGAGGGCCTTCCACTAAGAGATTTTTCACCAGTATGATTAACAAGAAACCAAAAGGCCACATTAGAGGAACGGAAAGTACTGCATTACAAAAACAAAGGCCCTAAATTGTAAATTTAAAAAAACTGTGATAAGCTGGCTAAGGAGCTCAGAATCTCCTCTTGTCTTATTATCCCTAGTATTGATTGAAGTCTCTCCACCTTGAAATTGTTGGTGAGGACAAATCTATTGAGTCTCATTAAATCCAGCACAGGAATGAAGTCCCTGGAGCATTTGGGACCACTAAAACAGATGCTATACATTTTAGAAAAATACTCTTTATCCTTGAGAATGAGAACTACAGCTGCAATATGAAACAGATACCAATTTGTTTCCATAAATGCTCTAACGTAAAGGAGTTATTGTAGAACACAGCGCCCTTAAAATTTCTACTTAAATAAAAAAAAAAAAGGGTAGTAGCACATCAAATCAACGTAATTTGATAAAACAGACTACAGATCTTCGCATGTGTATGCTTCCCACTACAGCTAGAGTTTTGAAGAGAATTTGTGTTCCTCAATGGATTTACGTATAATCCAGTGCAAGTTCATGACCCTGATCTGGTTTATCAAAAATGTTTTTTCTTCTGTTCAGTCAACTGTTTTGCACCACAAATTAACATCAGCACAAATAGCAGCTTTCCTTAAAGGCAGAGGTTAAGATGGTCTTCCAATATGTAAACCAACTGCATTGCCTCAGCTGTAGCATACACTGCCAATCTGACCACTAACAGAGAGGTCACTGATACTGCTGTAAGGGACAATGTACCACAGGATGTACATACTGATAAGCTCAATACCATATGGAACAGTAGGAAAATATTCCTTTGTCAATACATTTATGGAATAGCTGACACATCCTTATCTAGGTATTGCAGCCTGCATATTATTAATGCATGGAAGCCAAAAAACCCCAAACATTTTTCTGCAATAGTTTGTCTTCTCATTCAAAGAAAAAATAGGTATTTGTATTATTTTTACAGATCTGAGTTTTCCAAAGGCCTGCTGTGACTTCAGTAGGTTTGTGTGTCTTGTGATTTGAAAAATGCATGTTACTTTCAAGCAACTACAGTTGGGTATTTTATACAGTTCTTCTGATTAGAAGTATAGGACAGGACTGTCACAATAAAGGGACTCCTTTTCCCCTCTGAAGTTCTCTTAATTTGCCACAAACATTATTAGATTTATTTCACTCATTAAAACCAGGACAGGACTTCTTTTTTACATATATAACTTTTCTTTAATAAATATATACTTGTTTTAACATATTTTTATTAAAAAGAAAAAATAAAACCAACAAGCTTTTTCCAGAAGCATAAGATATTTTTATATTTTACAAAAAGACACCTTGAAGGCAGTCTACCTGTAGCTTGGCTGGGCTACTACTGTAGTGAACAAAGACAAAGTCTTCCATCACTGTAGTCAATGATAAACTTATGCAGAGTTCAGTACACAAGAATGTGCTGGGCACTACGTACTATAAAATGTTAACTAAACATGTTTAGAAACCCAGTAATGACTCTGGCTTAACTTAGGCTAGCTTCACAATTTTTTCACCAACTGCATACTCTAATTGAGACGATAAAGGGAAACACCTGTTTTTTTTAAAAAGCATAAACAGTTGCAAGATTGGTAGAAGGTAAGTTAAAGCTAACATATACAACTTGTTCCTTGTCTTCCTCCTTCTCAATGTTTCTAAAAAGGAAGGAAATGTATCTTCTGTATTTCTGTATTTCTGAAAAACACATTCATATAATTTGTTACGCTCAAAGGAGAAGTTCTGAGTAGTGAACACACATGTGACAGCTCTTCAGGGTTAGCATTTTTCCTGGCATGCATCAAAAATGTGAATCTGTTCTGTAAATGTAAATATAGTAAAAAAAAAAACTTAATTAGTTATCCTTTTAAAACACTATTATGGCAACAATTTTTCCAGTTAATTTTGATAGAGCAGGTTTTTTGCATCTTAAAGGAGTAAAATTGTTTGATATTCACACAAATACATTATTTACAAGTGAAGGGAATTTCTTAGCCTAAATTATCAAAAACAAATTGGAGAATTTAGCAATGGAAAGCTCCAGGAGATGACGAAAAACACAGATAATGCAAAATTACATGAAGAAATTTATATGCTTCTCAATCACTCATAAGACACAATTAAACCTTAATTTTTAAGGCTCATCAATTCAATGTAAGCAAGGGGACATATATGCTGGGATGTTATTAGTCCAATAAGCTCTGTTACTTTGCCAACCACATTTTGGCAACAACCAAGATCCAGAGATCTAAAGGACGCAAGACAACACAGTGCTTTGATTACTCTTTCCATTGCTATTGTACAGATGGACATTAAAATGAATCCTGTGATCATAAAGCAGAATGACATTACTTTTTGATACGATGTTGTTTCAGCTGTGTGAGCATCTTCTTGGTCTTTCAGTACTTTTTGTGTACCAGTATTGAGAGCCTGAAGTTGCTTTATCAGCTCGGCCTGCTGCGCTGTATGTTCAGTGTTTTGTCTGTAAAGATTCTGCAGCTCCTGTAACTCCTTCCTGTGCAAAATAAGCAATACAGAGAAATTAAGAAAAATAATGACCTCCACTGTGTTCAAATAATTTTATTATAGATAATTAGCTTCCTATTTTAATTTATTTTTCTGCCACCTGCCTTATAAACACTAGAAGTTACATGTATTTATCATGTATTTTTCTGAAATATCTGCAAAACAGTTAAGTTTCAAAATGGAATGCTTTTCAATTTTCCTCTAATGTTCCTCTAACTGCTTTACAATAAATGGATTTTCACTACTGCATCAGCACTTTCTAATCAATATTCAGTTAACTCTTTAGTGGTAGGTGTCAAAATGTAAGATATTTAGAACATATGGACTGTAAAAAGTTTGTTTTTTTTTTTAACAATCAAGAAATGATACAAGGTTTTTTTAACTTGCAGAGTATCTGCAGAGCAAGTCTCTTCTGAAATGCCTCTATTCCCTAGACAACTGAAGTATGTCTGCTGATAAATTGCTTTTTGTCTGAAGTTACAGCATACTGAGACAGCCATAAGCAAAGTAAGTAAACCTTGGTGTGCATTATATAACATAACAATAAAAGTTCTACAAACACAGTAATACGAAATATCTTGTAATGCAACTATAGGATAGATCTAATATAATTAGTGTGCTTGAGAATCTTACTCTACTGATGATAATCTTCTAAATTAGGGAGGAACTGAAGATTGTACACAATGATTAAAAATCTGGCATATTTTCTGTAACGCCTGTTAGAAGACTCCATTTATATCTCTTTATATATTTTCTACTTAATTTCCTGTTCAATTCACAAGCACATTTCAACTAATATTACATACAGGTATTGAAATATAAGCTTAGCACTTTAACTAATTTTCTTCCTTATTTCCTCAAAGGTTTTTATTGGTGACGAACTTCTCTGCACTTAGAATTACCATTAACAACAAGAGTTATCATTACATTTTTATAATACTGCTGGAGACATCCAGGAAAAGATTAAAGGTAAGCTGAAATATCAGCTTCCTTGGTCCTGAGAAACTGGACAAAGAAACCATTTTAAGGGAAATTTAAAAAAAAACATTTCTTAAGACCTATGCCAGTACTTCATATGTTGATTATTCATTAAAGGTACATCTGAATAATCATATTAAAATTGAAATTACATGTACCACAACAGCATACTAGTCAACGTAATGTGGTTAAAAAAGCACTGCTTAAAAAAGCCTGTTAGACTACAGGAGAACACTTAAAGACATGGCTTAATTAACAGTATTTAAGTCCTATTGTTCGTAATAAGAGGTAAAACTTAACAACAGTAGAGGTGCATTAGGTAAGGAAACCAAAGCAAAACTGCAGTGTGTACTTCATATGTACTAATTTAATTCTGTTCATAAGCACAGCAGGAGAAACAGGGACATAATGATATATTAGAACTTAACAAAACTCTATGACAGAATTCAAAACAAGAACTTGGTTTATTTCCCTGACTGTGAGTAAATAGTAGAAAATAACACAACTTTGCACTGCAGTTGAAACACAGATTATATTAATTTTATACAGGTTCTCCAGATCTTCATTCTGTTGTGGAAGGGAAAAACAAGGGATAACATTGAATCCTCAGATACTGTTGGAAATTATAGTAGTAGCTGTTGCCAAGATTACTCTGCTATATTGCTGCTCTTTAATTTGTATGCAAACATTAATGCAGTTATCTGTGTCTGTCACCTGAGAATGTACAGTATTATGTATTTTCTAATGGTCTGCCCACAAAGTGTATTAAGGTCAATGGGAATCTTTCTTGTTGACTTTATCAGGCTTCAAGTCATATTCTAAAGGAGATGGGACTGGGGGGAAAGCTCAACCTTGCAGCCACCCAGCAACTGCAGCGCAGTCAGAACACATTAACATGTTTGCTCATGGTAAGTTCAAGGATTTTTGAATATAAGGAAACCTAGTCACAGTTCCATTATACTATATTTTAAAAATAAAACTTTTTTTTTTCCCCTTCATACACATACCCTAAATTGCTGGTTTTTTCTTTTTTTTTTTCTTTTGAGTAAAACGTTACATAAACCAAAAGTGTCAATCCGAAAAATTCTTGATACACAGAAATACACAACCAGTCTATTTAGTTTGTAGTTGTATGTTACTTGCATTGTTATGTTACAGGTGCTTTTATCCTCTTTAGTCTATAAGGTACTATTTATACATTGTAAATCAACAAAGGGAACCTTCTTTAATTTCATTTCTGCACATGAAGGAGGAAAGGATGCTCAGTCTTACCAGGAATTATTTGGCACCAGTGGGGCAATACAAACAAAATTCACAGAATTAAGCACCTTTGGTAACAGATGGGCCAACCTGGGGAGCTTTAAAATAGGAATGCTGAGGGAGAGAGATGTTGACCAACTAACAATTGAGAGAGCTGTGGCCAGGGCTGGCAAGAAAAGGGCACAGGTTGGTGTGCCCAGGAACGACCTTGTGATGGATACAACTCTCAGGGAGGACCACCTCAAGCATATGCACATAGATAGGGGAGTGCTGACAGGATTATTAGGGGGAGCCTTAAGAGTCTTCCTGGGAAACAGGCACAACTGGGTGTTCATCTGAAGTTGCTGCTCAAATGCACGCAGCATATTCCCATCGAAGATGACAGGAGGAATTAGAGATCTGTCTGTAGTTGCAGGACTCATCAGGATCGTGGAGACAAGGTAGGATACCTCACATGACTGGAGTGCCGCCATGTCATGCAGGCTCTTCAGGAAGGACAGGCTGGGATGGCAAAAAGTTTCTCTTTATGTGAAAGAGTAGTCTAAATGGATGGATGGAGCTCTGCCTTGGGATGGGCAATGACCCATCTGAGAGCATGTGGGTCAGGTGTGGGCAGACCAGTGTGGATGACATAAGGGCTGCCTGCTGATCCTTTCTGATCGGGAAGAAGAATTAAGTCCTCTCAAGAACTGGAAGAATATTTATATTTGCAGGCCCTTGTCTTCATGGGGGACTTGAATCACTGCAGTATAAACTGGAAGGATGACAACACAGCAGAGCACAAGCAATCCAGGAGGGTTCTGCAGTGCTTTGATGACAACTTCTTGCTATAGGAAATTAACAGGCTGAGATAAGGGGAGAGACATCGCTGGACCACATACTTACAAAGAAGGAAGAACTGGTCACAAGTGTAAAGGTCGGGGCAGCCTTGTCTACAGCAACCTTGAGACGATGGGAGTTCAGGATAGTGAGAGGTGGGAGAAAGCCAAAAAGCAGTATCACAACCCTGGATTTCAGGGAAGCAGACAGGCTTTTTCAGGGACTTCTTTGGAAGAATCTAGAACAGTGTCAGTCTGGAGAGAAGAAGGATCCATGAGATCTGGTTGATTTTCAGGGATCACTGCAAGATCAACAGTGGTTCATTCCAGTGAGCAAGAAGTCAAGCAAAGGTAGCAGGAGGCTTGTTGGATGGATGAACAAGGACCTCCACTGACTAAACTCAAATGTAAAAGGAAGGATACAGATACAGAAACAGGGACAGGAGATCTAAATAAATGTATGGTAAGGTGGACTTGAATCTAGCTTGAATCTACTGGGCTTAAAGAGTTATGATCAGTGGCACAAAGTCCAGCTTGAAGGCCAGGCATCAGTGGAGTATCCTAGAAGCTAACACTGAGGCCAATACTCATTTAACATCTTCATTAATGAGCTGGACAACAGGACAAAGTGCACCACAGCAAATTTGCTGATGACACAAAACTGGGGGCAGTGGTTGTTTCACCAAATGTTTATGAAGTCCCATTCAAGAGGGACTTCAACAAGCTGGACAAATGGGCTGACAGGAACCTCACGAAATTCAACAAAGGGAAGTGTAAATTATTGACCCTGAGGAGTAATAACCCCATTCATCAGCAAAGGCTGGGGCCTGACCCCTGGAAAGCAGCTTGTCAGAAAATGTCCTGGGGATGCTGGTGGACACCAGGCTGACCAGGAGCCAGTAATGTGCCCTTGTGGCAAAGACCAAAGACACCCTGAGCCCTCCCGAGAAAAGCAATACCAGCAGAGGGAAGGAGGTGATCCTTCCCCTCTATTCAAAAGTGGTGTGTCCAGTTCTAGGTCCAGTACAAGAGAAACATGGATATACTGAAGTAAGTCCATTGAGGGACCACAAAGACGATGAAAGAATTGCAGCATCTGCCATACACAAGAGAAGCTGAAAAAGCTGCGACTCTTCAGCCTGGAGAAAGGAAAGCTCAGAGGGGGTATTACGTATAAGTATCTGATGGAAGTCTATAAAGAAGATGTAGACAGGCTCTTCTTGGTGGTAACCAGTCAAATAGGAAGAGGCAATGGGCACAAATTAAAAAGGCATGAAATTCCACTTAACCATTAAAAAAAAAAAAAGGTTTTATGCTGTAAGAGTGGTCAAATCCTGGTAGCCTTGGAACAGGCTACCCAGAAAGGTTGCAGAGTCTCCATTCTTGGACATACTCGAAGTCGACTGGACATCACGCTGGGCAGCCTGCTGATACTGCTTGAGCAGAGCGCTGGACCTGCTGGAGTAGAGGGACTACACAATCTCCAGAGGTATCTGCCAGTCTCAGCCACTTAATGATTCTGTTACTGATTTGCTTGCAGCATGCTCAAAGCAAGTACACAAAATCAACCCCATGATAATCAGAAAAACAGTTACAACATAAAAATGAATTTCTGCTCACAACATCTATTAATATGCTTACTCAAATCAGCAATCTACCAAGCAGTCTACAAGAAAGACACCTGCCTGTCATTGCAGCAGGGTAAGTATGTCAAGTCTTAAGTAAAATGATACTCCAAGGCAAACATGTAACAGAAGAAATAACAAAAAAATTGCGAACTGGATGTAACAAAGGTAATAAGCGGCATTTAAAATACATGTGCACAAACCCATATATGTGTCCACAAATATATACTCACCGGTATGTATGTATAAATGCACTATATATACATACACACATACGGAGAAATATATACATCTACACATAATATGCATATATTATACGTGGATGTGTACATGTACACATACAAGTAGGATATATGTATAAAAATATAAGCATATATTGATGTTTTTATACACTCTACACTCTAAACAAACACAAACTTAAAAAAGTCACCATCAGCAGCACTAAGAGAAAAAACAATATTCTCTCAGCTAAGCACCAAAATTGAAACATCTATGATGTCTGGTTTTGCCCCACCACCCTCATCATCCCCATAAACAAACACACCATAATCACCATGATACACTGAAAGTACGTAACTTCATACTCCGTTTAACATTGAAGTCAATAGATATTACTGAGGAAAAAAAAACCCAAACCAAACACATCTCTGTCTTTAATCTAACGCTTCAAGACCAATACAATGGGAAACCAAGAAATTTACAGAAAGTGAGCTCCTCTCTTCAAGTCACAAGGAAAAACCAATGAAAAATAGTCATTTTTTTCTCAAGTTAAAATAGAAAGCATAACTGAAGTATTTCAGCCACAAAAGTAAGATAACCTTAGTAGATTTTGCTTTAAACATTGCAAGCTTGATACTACATGACGATTCTATAAACTGGACTGTAGCAAGACTCAAAGATCTAACACCTTGTCCTGCCAATATCAATATTTAAGAGTCACACTATTGTTTACAGTAGAGGTAGCTCTGGTGCTCACATCAAAGAATGGGAACCAAAGTTTCCTCGTATCCTTAGAGGATAACATTAAATAAAACCTTTATGTCCTGCACATACCAAGAGTTTAAGAGTAAACTGTGGCTTCCCAGAGATGTAACTGAAATAAGTAGCTGCTGTCACTCCATGAGCTATATAACTGCTGCAAATAGATCTAATGTTCATCATACCCACCACTTCGGGTGATGCTGGCTTTGTTTCACCACCACAATTTTGGCAAATACACTCGAATTCTGAGTAGCTCTGCTACCCCTGTTACCAAGCAAATATAACAGGGCTTGGGGTAATTCAGGAAATCTCTAAATTCCATTACCTGCAGTTTAGAAATACAACAGTGACAGGCATTATGAATTATGGCTTCTCAGAGGAATGGCACAGATACTAAGAAATGGTTTACAGCACACAGCAAAGAACAACCTGAAAATCCCAGAGCAGCAAAATAAGGGTTGAGTAGAAATCTGACTGCCTCATTATTTACGGCACAGAGGTAAACTGAGCAGGGGAGAGGAGACAGCAATATTGCTACAAAAAAAGTGGTTGTGAAATGATCAGAAGTAAATTTAGACTAGCAACTAATTTTAAAGGAATAAAGTTGTGGCACAAAATTCCAGTAAGAACACAGAGGCAAGAAATTCTAATTCAGTTTTATAATGGTTTACTATATTCACAACAGTTTAATATTTCCTGGATACCTGTGACAGCAAGCCTCAGGTCTCAGCAAGTCAAGCGAACCTCTCAAGTTTGATGTTCAGAGTTCCACCAGAGCTCTGTGCCAATGAGACACAGACCACCAAGTGCTCAGCAGTAAACACAAAGTTCTAAAACCCGGTATGTCACCTAATTTCAAAACTTAAATCACAGAGACGCATTGGAGTTAATCTTTAGAAACAAAACAGCAAGATTTAATGTTCTTCAAGAATGTCAAAATGGAAAGGCTACCAGGGACTCTAAATGGATATAGAAAATCTGTACTGAATACAAACCTGAAAAATGGAACAAGGAAATACATTTCACAACTACTTCAGGAGGTTGAAATTAAACCCAGTGAGATCAAGAGTGCTTTGCATAAGCAAAGCCAGCAAAGGAAGGTGGTGGCTTTCTGGAGACATACGCTGTGCAGGATGGTTCCTGTAAATACTTTCTGTTCGCTAGTCTTAGAAAATTTATTTTCCACAGCTCAGAAGTATGTGACAGACTTTTACTGACACTAGATGGGACTTTCAGAAACACCACCATTCTGTATCACCAGAATGAGACCATAGTGCTATAAAATTTTGGTCCCTGATAATTTGCTAAAAAAGACTGCTCCTAAAAAAAAAACAGCTCTCCTTAGTGTCTACAGACATAGTTACTGTGAAACTGAAAAAACTCTTGTAAAAAGCTGACAGATATGCAGAACAGAACAAGAAGTTAAGACTGCACAGGAAACAGCACCAGACCAGTTTGTACACAGACTCTTGAGAGACTTTAATTTCCAATTCATTTTTGCATCTACTGTAAAAATTTCAGACACTATTACCAAGGTGTCAGCTAAAGAACTGTTTTTCTGGATCTGCCTATAATGCTAAAAGAAGATGCTACATGAAGGAAGTCAGTTTCTTTCCTTTCTCTCTCCAGAGCTTGTTTCTAACAACTACAACTATGCTCCTGGTCTGTTTTCAAAAAAGGGAATGGTGGGGAAGGCAGGCAGGCAGTAGACAGGGAGAGAGAGGCAGGGCAGTGGGGAGAACAGAGAGATTTGTAAATCAGATTGTCCTTTTTCAGCTCCAAAAGTTTGAAATTGATGATGGGAAAGTAAAGGAGATAGGGTATTTTCCACACTATTTGTCAAAGAATTTTCTGCCAGCATTAAATGAAAACTGACCATTGGATGCAATATTTTTACAAGTCTGAGTTACAAACAAGAATTTAAAAAAAAAAAAAAAAGTTAAAAAAGGAACATCAAATGTTTTAATCATGAAGTGAACACAGTTCTAAGATCTTGGCCTAAGAAGATGAGACAATGTAAAGATGTAATTTTCTCCTAAGATATTTCTTTTATTTCTGGAGTTGTTGCTTTTTTCATTAAGAACCAAAAGAAAAAAATGTTTTATGTATGTTTCCCCTTGGGAAGATAAGGAGAAACTTCAGTATTCTGTACTACAAAAAAACTAGAATACTTGAAATTCACTGTTTGTATCGCTAACTACAGAAATTGCTGCCTGAAACTGTGAATGTTACCTAAGCCATTTAACATTAGGCTTCTTTTTTCATAATGGAAATGTCACCAAGACACTTGTAGCCAAAGACAGTTCATTAAGATTAACAAACACTGAACTATAATGATATTGATCAAATATATACATACATAACATGTCAAGTATAACTCAAAAACTAGTGATATGGAAACTTACAACCATTCATTGCAATATCAGTAAAGTATCTGGGAAGGAAAACATCTGAGCACACAGAAAAACGTATGATCCCTTTGCCAAAATCGTTTCCATAAATACAGAAGGTTGGGTGTATGGAAAAACATACAGAAAAAGACTTGAAACACTTCAAAATAAATACATTGACCATCTTGTTATCTCAAGTTCAGATCTTATGTTCAAAAAACTACTTATTTTAATCACATATTTAAACGAGACACCTATGACAAATTCTAAAAGGTTGTTTTGTAGTGAATAGCAAAGAATATATTTGAAAAATTTTAAGGTCAATAATTTGGCCAACTCAGTTCACAGTATTCTAAATTACAAGCAGCAAGCAGTAACTCTGCAAATCTTGATTACCCTACTTTAAAAATGTCTTCTTCACTGTCCCTAGTCCTCTCACACATGATAAGATATATTTCTGAGTGTAATTTCAGAAAATAAGAAAGCCTATTAGTCCATTGATGTATTTCACAAATTCCAGTGATTGCCTCTTTCAATAGAACTTCCCATTAAACTCACCTATGTTTACTGACTTTAGAAAATCCAACTGTTACACCTTTAAAACATGAAAATAGCAAGATAGTATTTTTCCCGTACAGATTTTATCAAATACGATGACAATTTAAGTCAGAGGGATCAAAAATCGTATTTCTACATTTTTTTACCAAAAAGACTTAAGATGCTGACTCCCTACAGTAAGATTATTTCTGCTTGGAAAGCAAAGAGGAGTGTCCATACCAATGACTTCAGCATCCTAGTTGCAGCTTTTCAGGCATAACCTCAGTTTGAGGCAATACTGAAGGAAATATTATTTATCTAACACAGATGTAATAAACACAATGTACCCTCCAAAACTAAGAGGTGAAAAATGGACAACTTCCTAGCAATCCACTTAAAGTTACCAATTGTCTTCTGCCATTACCTTTATTTTGAGGAATTCAGTCTGGTCAATTAATATAATTAATTCCATCCTTCATTTCTTTTCCACAACTCAAATAATGTAGCACTAATCTTACAGATTCAGTGTAAAGAAATGGTGTGCAAGACCTAAGATAAAGCTTAAATCACTGCACTTTAAACCTTTAGCACAGGCCTATGTAGACTTTTGCTGACTTGCCAGATTTGACTCTAATTAAAAAGGTAAAGTTAGGCTTAACGTTTCTCTAAACTTAGGGCACTTAGCCCCTCCAATTAAATGTTTATGTCACTAATCATATAGGTCTTTTCTTTCTTTCAGTGGAAACTGGTAATTCTCTGACCCAATGCTAATTACAGAAGTTGGATTTTTTAAGTCCACCCCTAGTCAAAAACTGGTAATAATATATTAAGAGTCAAAATATATCACAGTTTACATAAACTGTTATCCAGTGGTAGACTTCCAAATGATTTACAGCATTTCTGTTCTGTTACAGAACAGAATGGTATGAAAATATACTGTTGCACAAAAATACCTCTAATGCAAGATACTGCTTTATAAGTGGAACAATAGTCTTTTTTAGAAGATACAGGCTTAAAGGTAATGAAATCATTAAATACTTACCTAGATCTGATCACATCACAATCCTTCTGGGTCAGTTCTTCCTGTTTCACAGCTACCTGAGATGACAAGTTACTGCATATATTGTGCAACTCTTTTATTTGTTCTCTTGCCTCTGCTAAGTCAGTTTCCAAAGTCTACAAAGAAAGCATTTGAAATGTATTAATGTATAAGAAAGTGTTAAAATTTACTATGCACTTTATCTACATACATAGACATATGAACGTGCATGAATATATTTATTGTGATTTAAGCAAATATATAGAGGCATGTGTGCATGTTTGGATGTATGAAAAATATGAAATAACAGAAAAAAGATATTGTCCTGGTTTCAGCTACAGCAGTCATTTTTTCTCCTTCTTAGTACCTCGTGCAGTGCTGTGGTTTTGACTTTCAGTCTGGGAACAATGCTGATAACACCGATGTTTTTAGTTGTTGCTCAGTAATGCTTACTCTGACCAAGGACTTTCTCAGTCTCATGCTCTGCCCGGGAGGAGGGGAAGCCGGGAGGAAGCAGAGACAGGACACCTGACTCAAACTGGCCAAAGGGGTATTCCATACCACAGCACGTCATGCCCAGTATAGAAACTGGGGGGAGTTACCCGGAAGGCCCAGATCGCTGCTCGGGTCGGGCTGGGTATCGGTCGGCGAGTGGTGAGCGGTTGTGTCCTTTTCCCTTGTTATTCCTCTTATCATTATTATTGGTAGCAGTAGTGGTTTGTATTATACCTTAGTTACTGGAGTGCTGTTATCTCAACTCGCGGGCGGTAA